TCTGAAAGTCTCTTTTTTTTTTTTTTTTTTTTTTTTTTTAAGGCTTTTTTTTTAATTTGATTTAATTACTTAATTACTTAATTGTTATTATTATTATTTTATTATTATTGTTTTTGAAAAAAGTTTTCATTATTAAATGCAAGCCAGGAAACGTGCCCGGCGGCGTCCTTCACAACGTTGTACAGCTCTTCCTGCGAGCCAGGCATCAAAGTTTTGTTTTTCCTTAGGCTGATTTAATTAGTTTTTTTTTTTTTTTTTTTTTTAATTAAATAGTTTTCATTATTAAATGCAAGCCAGGAAACGCGCCCGGCGGCGTCCTTCACAACGTTGTACAGCTCTTCCTCTTCCTTAGAGTCAGGCATCATCGGCCAGGCTCCGTGGAGTCGCTGCAATGATCTGCTCTACACACAAACTCAGCAGCACACTGCCCTCTCTCTAACACCATCTCTCTTTATGATACCCAACAAGCGAAGGCTCTGCGAAGCTACAGTTTGCGAAGAACAAGGGTCCGGTCGGAATGCTCATCCCACCAATCGAGAGCAACGTGGAAAAAAAGAAAAAAAGAAAAAAAGAAGCCAATAAAGAAGAGAGCAAGAGATATTCAATTAGGCGGCTAGTATGCTTTTGGTGAAATTGAAATGCTTCTCGTCACGTGCAGGGTTCTTGTGTGTGTGTGTGTGTGTGTGTGTGTGTGTGTGTGTGTGTTTGGGAGGCTTTTACCAAACGGGACCGCGACTGAGCTCACAATCAGGGTTTTGCTTTTTTTTTTTGTTTGTGTGTGTGTGTGTGTGTGTGTGTGTGTGTGTGTGTGTGTGTGTGTGTGTGTGTGTGTGTGTGTTTTCTCCTCCTTCTTCTTAATATGGCTGACACACTCCGCCAGCGACAGGCTAATATACGTTTGATAAGCCGACGGATCCCGACCGGCAGCCGATGAAGTCGGTCGTTGGTCGCGGGCGGTACTCTGCGAATCTGGATGCTTGGTATCCCGACACGCGACGAGCCCGATTTCGAAAAGCAGAGGTGTTAACCCCGCACTCTCTCTCAGCTCGGGATCCCGACCAATGCCGGCACTCCCGACGGGGCGCTGGGATACCTACGACACTGTTAGCATCGGGTGTCGGGAACTGATCCCGACCCCGACCGATTTTAGGAGGAACGCGCAGTGTACCGATAATCGCGTGATTGGCCTGGTGACCTGGTCTAGGGAAAGAGCTTTAAACCTGCAAAAAAGAAAAAGAAAAAGAAAACGAAAACAGATACATAGTATTAGTTCCGTATTTTGTCTCGTCCCTTGTCTCTTGTCACTCTTATCCGCAGTTTCTTTTTTTTTTTTTCTCTCCTTCTTTTTTCTCCCTTTATGCTGATAATGTTCTCTGTTTATTTCCAATTTTCACGCATGTCCCGGAGGATGACTGGCTTTCTTTGGCCTTCTGCCCCTCCTCCTCCTCCTCCTCCTCCTCCTCCTCCTCCTCCTCCCTTCTACGGGTTCTGTATGTCTCCCACTGTCAACTGCCTCACTCTCTCTCTCTCTTTTACTTCCTCTTTTTCTTTACCCCCTTTCTCCGGATTCTTCTATCCGTTTTTCCTCTCCCTCTCTCTCTCTCCTGTCTTCTCGTTGCTACCAGCGTCCAATCTCTTTCCTTTTCTGAAGTCCTCCTCCTCCTCCTCCTCCGCCTCCTCCTCCTCTCCTAGCTTTTCTTCTCTGGTCCGCAGGGAGTTTGTCCTTCTGGCGGTGACTTTGTAGTCACATATTCCAAATCGCGGGGACGCCCGCACGTCATCTACTCCTTCCTCTCCTCGTCTACGCTTTTCCGTTTTTCCCGTCTGGTCTGCACGTGGCTTGTCTCTCTGGTGTTGATTTTCTAGTTACGTGCTGCATCTTGCATCCACTTTCATTCCACCCACCCAAAACTTCACTTTGTTTATTCTTATTTCTCTCCTCTTTCTTCTGTCTTCTCTCCCTTCTCTCTCCTCTCTCCTCACCTCTTTCCTCTCCTCTCCTCTCCTGTCTCCACTCCTCCGCTCTGTCCTCTGCCCTTTCCCATCTCCTTTCCTCTCCCCTCTCCTTTCCCTCGTCCTCACAGATCTCTAGTCGGTGACTGCACTGCCACGTGGCACTGTAGCGCTTGTCCTTCGTGACTTGCGTGGTCCCCACCAATAAACTTTCCTCTTTTGTCATGCGCTCCTCTTTTGCACTCTGTCTCGTGAACTCCTCGAACCCTTTTTTCCTTTTTTGGTTTCCTCCCACCCTTTCTTTCCCGGCACTGGGGGGAGGTCCCACTAGCAAAGAGGATTGGATAAATATCCTGAATCTGGACGTGTTGTAAGCAGAGATGCAGAAAAGCAGTTCAATCTCGATTTAATGCACCTCTCCGCAAACACGTCCAGATTCAGGCATTCTATCCAATCCTCTTTGCTAGTTGGACCACGCCCCTGCTGTCTCTCCCTTTTCGGATATCGGTGATGTCGGCGTCATTGTCCAGAGATTGACAGAGGAATTAATTTAATTTTTGCTTAAAAAACTGGTGAATATGATTACGTTTTTTTTTTTTTTTTTTTTTATGTTATACATGCGGCATGTGTCGGGCAGGTGGGGTTCAGTTTCGCGCAAATCCGACTGCAGTTTTATCTTAAATAACTCCTTTTTTTTGGTTTCGTAAACCTTTTTTTTTCTTCTTTTTCTGCCCCATCGTTGTCCAATTCACTTCATTTGTCATCGTGTGCGAGTCTTGATCTCCAAAGGATGTATATTGTTGGGCATGTCCTCCTCCYCCCCCCCCCCYCYCCCCCCCGCCTCTTTCTCCCCTCTCCTCGTCCTCCCTCCCTTCCGCCCTCCCTTACCCCCCTAAACTCACAATTCCGCATTTTGTTTCCAATACTAGGTGTATCTGATGCTCATGCACGTGTGGCTATTATTGTTTTTAACTTTGTTTTTGTACTATAATAATTATTATAATGTCATACTATCTTATTATGTATGTTCAAGGTTTTGTCCAAAAAATATATCAATAATATGACGAAGGTGTGACTATTATCAGATAGGATCATGACCCTATCTGACGAAGGTTGGAGCAATACGACCAATGAAATCCGCCCAAGGTGTTGTCCTTAACACCCATGTGACTAGGATTCACTCTTCGAGAGGCCTGGGGTGAAAGTTGGGAAATGATGTGGGGCTCCGTCGTGTGCCTGCACACCCGCGTTGGTGGAGACATCCTCCATCTCACGGCATTATTATTATTATTATTATTATTTATTATTTTATTATTATTGTTATTATTATTATTATTATTGTTATTATTGTTATTATTATTATTGTTATTGTTATTATTATTATTTTATGATTTTAATGTTTTTTGAAAGGGCGATGGCCTTGAGATATGATCATAGAACTGACCGGCCCTAGGTAATTCAGGACTTCAGTAATTTTTTTTACTCGTCGGCTTCGAGTGGAGTTCGAACTCAGCACCTGGTCTGTATTTCAACAGTTCAGCGGTGGACAAACTGAGCTAGGCCAGTTGGTGTCACATTGAAGTAAAGGATCACATAAACACATGGAAGAGATGTGCACCTCAGCGTTCTGGCAGCACAAGGCAACGGTGGCACCATCGTTTCAACCTCTCTCTCTCTCTCTCTCTCTCTCTCTCTCTCTCTCTCTCTCTCTCTCTCTCTCTCTCTCTCTCTCTCTTGTGTGCGCGTGCACCTGTGCACTTGCACTTTACTGTTGGGATTAGGCCGCTAAATAGCTCAGGTGCCGCTCTTCCACCTTGGCAGGTCGTTGTTTCTGTTTCTTTTTTTTTTCTTTTTTTTTTGTTTCTGTTTTCAAATCGAGTTGGACCCACCCGAGTAGGGTGGTGGGTATGTGGCCTAAACCGTACGTGGTTCACACAGTCGTTTTCTTACTATGGCCGTCGCAATGGAGGGAGATGCGCAACCTTCCGCAGCAGGTCATTGCATGCTTTTTATACCTTCTGACCGCTTTGCGTTCTACTCTCTCTCTCTCTCTCTCCTGCTCTCTCGATTTTCCTCCACTCCTCCAAGTCACCCTGTATTCTGTGTTATGGTGATTAGTATGCTGAGCTTCCCGCTCCTCTGCGCTTGTCTTAACACTGGAAGTGGCCTTCTACTGCGCGCACCAAACAGTGACGCACCTCTTTTCTTTTTTGGCTGGTGCCGCCGGCTGTTGTGGTACTGCAGTGTGTAGCCTTGAGCCTCCAAAATTGTCGGAAGGATGAAAGATTTCTCCGTATGGCTGGGCCCGTGTACTGCAGGCTTCACATGTGTAGGTGTGTACTGCTCAACCACCAGGCCTTAAACTACCAGTAATTTGGTCCGTACATCGGCCGCGGGCACTTGGCATTAAACCACCATTACCTGAAGGCCTCCTAACAATGCGGTTTAAAATGTCACCCTGAGGTCTCCGTAGCGCCGGTAGCGGTAGGCCCGCCGTCGATAAATTCTATTGGTGGTGAGGAGCGTTGCGGGCCTATTGGCGGCGAGGAGTGTTACAGGCCTCCCGACCTCGTGGAGCCTTTTAGTGTTAGGAGCGCTGCAGGTCGTGGTGGCTTAATGTGCCGCAACAACTTTCGGAGGCTCGGCCTCCCAGAGCAAAATGGCAGATGGCCCGCCGCCGTGCACTTCACGTTAAACCACTGCAGTACTTGCTAAAAAGTCATGCCCGTTAAACAAGTCACAATTTTAGGAAACGTACGGGCCACTACAGCAGTGCCCAAATTCATCCGACTATAAACGTTTACGCTCTATTTTTTTTTTTCCACGGTTGATGGTGGTGTGGCAAGCAGGCCCTATGTTGAGGGATGCTGGGATCTCAGCCTGCAAAGTAATATGCGTTTGTTGTTCTGTTGTTGCAAGTCCAAAAAAAGATAAAAGCAAGAAAAGGAAATCCAAGGTTTGAATTTCTTGTCGAATCGTCTGGTGATGTCGTCTGCTGACTATGTCATGGACTTCTGGGATGTGCCTGCAGGCCGATGGATCGTCCTTGGATTGGCTTCAACGGGAAAAGTCAAGCTCGGGGCGGTTATGGGGGACCACAAGGGAACGGCCTTTCACCCATCGGCATGCAGATGGGGGGGGGGGGGTTGGGGGGGGGGCGGGAAGGGGGAAGGAGGGGGGAGAGGAAGATGAAAAGTGAGAAGAGGAGTAGAGGAGGGAAGATGAATGGTGGGGGGAGTAGGTGGAGCAGGTGGAGGAGGGGTGGGCTGGGCAAAAAATGGTAATGGGGCACTAGCAGCACGGGCACAAGTGTCGCAACTATCGGTTGGGGGCAACCTGCGGGGCCCGGCTGCGATTCCGCAGTACCTGCCTGGATCGGGTGGAGTGGTGCCGGAGTCACCGGGACACGGGCATGCTTATAGGAAAGCAGGTGTCACGGCCTCGCCCTCGGCTCAGGAAGGGGGGATGGTGGGAAATGCGGATGGTATTCTCTCCTCTCCTCACCCTGAGAAAACATGGGTGAGTCCATATTCCATAAATGGAAATGGGAACATCGGCAGCAGCAGCAGCAGCAATGGCAACGGCTGTCATTTGACTAATTTAGGAATGGAAAGCTCAGCAGCGGCATCGGCGAGTATCATAAGAAGTCCTGCAAGGAACTTGCAGGGGCATCCGGCACCCCTGCCACCAGTACCCCCTTCTCCTTCTCCCAGCTCGAACTCCAACCCAGGCTCTCCCGCACCAGCGACTCCGTCCTCAACTATCAGCTGCAGTTCTGACACTGCCAGTCTTCTTTCGTCAGGTCAAGGTCAGCAGATGGACGGATCTGGCCATTTGCCGCAGCCCCTTCCGTGGGGGTCGTCAATGTTGCCGACAGGTATGGGGGTCCCGCCTGGGTCGGGAATGAACTCAGACAGGGGAATGTATCAGTCTCCGGGCTCGCTGACATATGCAAATGGCAATGGGAGCATCGGCGGCGGAAGGGACTGGGAGTACATGCTCTCAAGTCCAGTGTCTTGTTCTCCATCTCCGAGAGGCGATCCTCCCAAAGGACTGGATAATCAGTCGGTATGTGTTCTTCTCCTGTACTTGCCTTGCTGAATATATTTTTATGGTCTAAAATGCCAATTACAAGATGTCATCCCTAATCTTTTATGGAATATGCAATATGCCAGATCTATCCTCAACTCCAGAACAACAAGCTTTTGCGGTGATGAGCGTCTAGATTTCTATATCAGTAGTGCCCCAGGGTGAGATCGGATATTTCGCTCGGGTGAGTCGGGGTGCGTCTGGGGGAGAGGGGAGGGTGCAGGTGTGTCTGGGACAGAGGGAGGGTGGTTGATGGAACAAGTTTGCCTGTAGGGGGTGGGGGCGCACCTGGGAGAGAGGGAGGGTGGGGGTGCGTCTGGGTGAGAGGGAGGGTGGTTGACGGAACAAGTTTGCTTGTAGGGGGGTTGGAAGAGTGTTTGGCTGCTGGATCTGTTATGTAAAGGAGTTATCAGGGGTAGTTGTTCCTTTTGCATTCCCTTTGTTGCCTTGTGAGCAAGTTTGTATTCCAGGGCTTAGAATGGGGAGCTTTTTAGGGCCCGGGGAAGGGCGGGAAGGGGGGCGGGGTGCCGAGGGGGGGGGGGGGGGGGGGGGGGGGGGGGGGGGGGGGGGGGGGGGGGGGGGGGGGGGAGGGAGGAAAGTAGTGGGAGGCAGGAGGGGAGAGGTGTGTTGGCTAAGCCTGGGGATGGTTGATTGGTTATGCAAGGGAGCGGGTGTGATAGTTCACGGTCAGTGGAGCTGGTGTTCGTGGTTGGGGGCGGCTGATGTCTGCCTGGATTGTTCAGCGTTTACCCAGTGAATGGCTTTTTTGAGTTTTTTTCGTCTTTTCAAGTTTACGCTTCCAGCGGTTTGGCTGGGCCGAAGTACTTTGGCTGGACTTTGCGGACCACTGTTCTCTGCTATCTGGGGGTTGGTGAGAGACGGGGGTAAGCGCCCCTTTGGGAAATTGACTGCTCTGGAAACCCCCGGCATGAGCCAGACAAGCATTTTCTGGGCTGGTTCTGACTGAAAGGGCCTGTTTAGGGCAAGATAAGGAAATATCTTTAGGGTCACTGCTGACCCTTCGTTTTCTCAGAGAGGGTCTGAACTGCAAGGTAGGCAACGAGTTTCTGGTCTCAAATGCTCTGGCTGGTTCTGACCTATTTTTCTGACCCCTGTTCTGACCCCTGTTCTGACCCCTGTTCTGACCCCTGTTCTGACCTATTTTTCTGACCGCTGTTCTGACCCTGTTCTGACCTATTTTTCTGACCTCTGTTCTGACCCCTGTTCTGACCCCTGTTCTGACCCCTGTTCTGACCCCTGTTCTGACCCCTGTTCTGACCCCTGTTCTGACCCCGGTTCTGACCTGTTTTTTTTACCCCTGTTCTGACCCTGTTCTGACATATTTTTCTGACCCCTGTTCTGACGTTCTGACCCCTGTTCTGACCTTGTGGCTTGCTATTTGGGTGTGATGTGCTCAGATTAGGAGACAGAATTACAGGGATGACAAAGCGCGGGGAAAGTTTGGCTCTGTGTTGGGAGGATCAAGCTTCAGTAGCGCTGTGCCGCCGGTTGTGCCACGGTTGAAGATTATGCTGATGGCTGATGGTACGCGCCATGTGTCGATGGAGGATGGCCCACCATCAGCAGGAGATCACCCTGTGGAGAGCGGTAGTGGCAGGACAAGCTTTTCTGGCCGAGGCGGTGGCAGCTCAAAGCATAGTTTGGGAGGAAGCAATAAGTCTGGGTTTGGAGGAACATCGCGTCGGACATTGCCGGGCGACCATAACAGCACTACTGCGCGCATTTGGTACTACAAGGATACAGCAAATGTCGAACATGGGTATGTGTCGAGCCAAGTTTTGATGGGGCTAACCCCTTTTCTTGCATTTGTGTTTTCTTTTTCTTTCAGGTCGTCAAGTCACATAACACTTGCTCCTTTGTCTTTGGGTCTTAATTTATTTGTTTTGGAGACTATTTATTGCATCATCTGAAGGCCAAGACGAAAAAGAAAAGAAAAGAAAAGATTCACCGGAATGCGGGCAGATTGGGTGTTCGCATCTTAAACAATCAAGAATTAAGTGGAGAAGAGGTGACATCCACTGTATGGCCGGAGTGGCCGCATCAAGATCTGAGCCAAATTGAGCAAACGCAGCTTCTTCTTCTTCTTCTTCTTTTTTTTCACCAGCCTCGACCCACTGGAGAGGGTGGTATGGGCGCCCCCCTCTAGTGTGCCCTCGCTGGTTGCTCCAGTGCTATTAGTGGGAAATGTCACCTGCTGGAAGCCGGGTCCAGCATCCTACATGATAAACTTAAAAAAAACAAAAACTGAGCCGGATAACGGGTCCATTGTCCGATATACCAAACAGTCGGAAATAACAAAACAGGCAAGAAGGAGAGGCGGGGGCGAAGAACCTCCCTTGTTGCACAAACACAGCTACTTCACAATATTGTACAAGTTCTAAGACCGTCTTCAGTCCATTTTGTTTGAAGATTGTCCATACGTGTAAAGAAACACGGCATTCTCGATTTCCAAAAGGCAATGGGCAAAAGCTTGAGTGAGAGCAACTTGTTGTTTCCTTTTCCAAAATTCTGTCGTCCTGAGTGGTGTCGGTCCCAACCCCAACCCCTTGGATCGATGACCTAACGGAAGTGTGGGCACATTACGTTTCGCCCCTCTCCAAAGGCGACCTTTGTTTCAAATGCAGGTGTCGTGTCTTCCTTTGCTGTCCGCTCCCCGGCATGTGTATCTTGTCGATGACCAACTCCCCTTTTGCTTTTCTTGAATCTCTTTTCGTGACTTGCGGTTTGAAAATTTCACTAACTCTCCTAAATAAAATAAAAAAATAAATGTCACTAATGCTGACTGGGAGAACCCGCGGGGTGCTAAGGGCAGTAATAAGAATTGGTGCGGTAATGCTGAGCTGGCGCCGACTTCCGACGAGTGGAAGGAAAGGGGCCTGTGAAGGCTTGAGATCTGAAAGTCTCTTTTTTTTTTTTTTTTTTTTTTTCTTTTTTTTTTTTCAGGTGTCTTGGAAGTTTGAAGGCTGAGAGCAGCCGGTGGCGTAATTGATTTGGTAGAGTCCTAACACCAGTCGTGAAGCATCATTCCGTGTGCAACTGATTTGTCCATATGTGCTGGATTGAATTGTTCTGAGATAGATTGACCAAGCATATATTTTTACTCGTGCTTTCCTTTTTTTTTTTGGAGGGGGGGGATGGGTTGAGAGGGGGAACAACATCATTTGAGCACAGATAGGGTTGACATGCTGAACCTCTGCCGGAGAACGGGAACTGCAAGAAACAGTGGTAGGGTTGGCCAAGCCAACAGTTTGTACCTGTATGTGCTCGAGGTCTAACGATTGCCGCTGTGTGCTTCGCGTGCAGGCCCCAGACAATGCAGGAACTTGTTCAGTGGCACAAAGAGGGCTATTTTGATAGTAATTTGCTGGTAAGCAAGACCCAAGAGCCCTTTTGACTGTTTTTTTTTATAGGTTATGCTGGATCTGTGCATCCCATTATTTCGCTTGGGCCAGATTCTCTGTACCGATCACCAATTTCTAGGAATGTCTTAAAAGACTTCCTGTTGGCCTTCAAAAAGCCATCCTTGCCTGCGATCTGGCATTTTGCGAAGGGATGTGGACCAAACATACCTCACTCGTTGTTGGCGTACCAAATTGGACCCCATGACCCCTCTGCACCATTCGGGGAAAACCGGTCTCGTCTTGACCATTGGTGCTTTTAGGAACAGCAAGTCTGAATACTAGAAGTCGGTCCCGTCTTGATGCTAGAAGTCGGTCCCATCTTGACTAGTTTTAGGGACAGCAAGTCTGATCTCTAGAAGTTGGTGGAAGTTCAAATTTACCTCGAGGCTATGAAACCCAGGAGTATGTTTCCCTGCTATGAAAACGAATTTGCGGCTTGCATTCAGCCACAACTTTTGGGGCTCGGTCTCTGGAGCAAAATGGCCATCTGTGTATATAATATTATATATAGCCGATATGCAGGTGTTAAACCAGCTGTACGTGCGAAAGTTGCGGCGGCATTCGTGCCATGTCCTGCTGGGATGAACGGGGCTGGGACACACGCATAAATTCATCCAAGCGGAAACGTCTCAACACTGTAGCAATGGCTGGCCGTATGCGCACCGCGAGTTTTGGAAGTACTGGTGGTTTAAAGTGGCGTGATCCAGGTTTCTGCATTGATGGCATCCGATTGGTGTTTCTGTGCGGTTGTGGTTGCACAGCATCCGTTTCGTGAAATGTTTGCTATGTATGGTTGCATCGGTCCTTAGGTCTCTTGCCTTTATTATTGTCTGCCTTCGGGATGGAGCTTTGTTTTGAGCTGTCTCGGGATATGAGAGCAACCTCGCTTTTGGTTTTTGTTCAGTCTCCAACGCAGGTGACACACAAATGAGAGAGAGAGAGAGAGAGAGAGAGAGAGAGAGAGAGAGAGAGAGAGAGAGAGAGAGAGAGAGAGAGAGAGAGAGAGAGAGAGAGAGGTGGTTAAGACTGACAGCAACAAACTGTGAGGGGTCAGGATGAGCAGTGGAAGCAAAGTGAATGGCGTTGGATGCTCTGTCTGATGTTTGTCTGTTTTCTTTCAGGTGCGGGAGAAGGGGCATAATGTCTGGAAGACGCTGACTGAGATCTGCACGGAAAGGGCACCGAAAAGTCCACAAGGGATGCCATGCATCGGTGAGAATGTGGCAAGAGTGCCGGGGCAGGAGTCCCACGTGTCTGTGTTGGGCCTTCCGTCAGCGATGAAGCAGCTATCCATTAACCCTGGAACATATAGCCCAACTATGAGTGGTGGAATTGGTGGTCGAGGGCGTGGCCATTCTCGGTCACTCTCTGCAGAACAGGATCTAAGGGCTCCTCACGCGGGTCAATACAGGCATTCGCCAGACCCAATTGTTCTTCGAAAATCGCAGTCTGCGCATTACCCAGCAGACAGAGACTTTGTAAGGAGAGGGGTTGGGTCCGAGTCAGGCTCCGGAGTCTTCTTCCAGTCGGGAACAGACGGCCAGAGGAGCCCGTTGGAACCGGCCGGGATGGAGGGTGGGAGACTCATTTCTGTTGACCCTGATAAACAGAGTGTTTATGCAGAGAAACTGTTTAAGGCAACGGAGGTACACTGTCCTCGTCTTCGCCCTTCCGGGTCCTCTTCCTCCTCCTCCCTCCCCCTAGTCCTCGTCCTAATACTCCCGAAAATAGAAAGGTATGGCCTTTATACCTGTGTCTGGTCTGAAATCTGCCTTGAATACAGCTATAAATCCTACAGCGATCATGCTGTCCTCTCCTCCTCCTCCTCCTCCTCCTCCTCCTCCTCTGCCTATTCCTCGTCCTCGTCCTCCTCTGCCTATTCCTCGTCCTCGTCCTCCTTGCCCTACTCAGAAGCCCAGAAAATGGAATGTTGTGGCCATTTAACCTGTATCTGGCTTGAATGTTGTGCCAGATACGGCTGTGAATTCGTAGAGTTACCATGGCGGTTAATTGGAAGTGAAGATGGAAGGCTCACCTCTGCTAAACCGCAATGTGACCCTCATCCATTCTCCAGAGCCTGTGCACAATAATGTACAAATATAAAATAAAAAGAATGAAGTCTATTATGAAATATTAGACAATACACAAAAATAATATGTATTTTATTTATTTATTTATATAATCAACATATATCGTCAAGTCTGGAGCAACTTAACCTTTTTGTCTTAACGTCTCTAATTCTTTTCATTTTTTGTCTTTTCTGAAGTTTTTTTTCAGTTTCTTTTGTATTGATTTTTGTGTATAGTATTGTACTATTGTGTAATGTGTATATCAATTAAAATATTTATTGTGTCAAATTATTGTGTTTTTTTTTTTTTTTTTTGTAATTAAATTTACATTTTCTTTTTAACTCTATTTGCAGTTCTGTCAGATGTGATGCATGGCATATTTTGCTGTTCGATGATGTGAGGATTGAGCCCTCAAGTAGGGGCCTTGCCATGATGTACATGTTCTGGGCTAAGGCCCCAGTAAGCCTAGTGCCCGCCCTAAGTGAAGGCGGGCCAGCAAATCGACAAGAGCCCTCTGTGCAACATTTCACGAAGTGGGGTTCATACAGTTGCAGCACGCCAGTTGGTTGGAGTGCACCGAGTCTCGGATTTCAGCAAATGCTGAAAGTCCAGGGCCTCTGAGTTGGTTAGGCCCTGGGCATCTGAACGTGAGGCCGACAATGCATGCTGGAAAGAGAGGCCAAAAATGCCAAAGGGAAATCGGCCCACTGTCTGAATCTGGCCGCAGGCCTTGATGAAGGAGGCGTAACTGCCTTACCTCGGGGCCCAACTGTATCGAGTTGGCTTCAGCCTCTGGGCCCCGGACACAGGCTGAAGGGAGGCCGCCCACACACTGCACTGGCATATAGGCAAGCAGGGCGAGACAGCGGTGATCTTGGCCAATGCTGGCATATGCGGGCACGCTGCGCAGATGCAAGTGTGGTGCGCTAATGCAGAGCAGCGCTGCGGTAAGAAGAAGCAGGGCAGCGCTAGGCGGTAGGGCGCTGCCTGCTTGCAGAGCACGCGGCCATAGCCGGGCCGCAAGGGGAGGTGAGGGCGAAGGTGGTACTTCGGAGGTGAAGGGCGCTGTGTGGGTAACAAGGGAGAGTGTGGGGAAGATGACAAGTACCTGTTCATTGCTGTAGTTGTAGGATACGCGGTAGAGTAGATAGGGCGCCTGGCGCCATTCACAAGAGAGAGCTACATTTGGGTTATGCTGTTGGTGTTGCCCTGGTGGGCATGAACATTGACTCACAATTCTTCTGTATCATTCTCAATGGGATGGTTACTAGGTTCCATGTGCTATCTGCTTTGGCTTTGAATACTTGGACGTCAGTGTGATTTTGCATTCCGGATTTCTACTCTTCTTCCATACTCATGTTCCTTGCAATTTGGTATCAGAGCTGGTTTGATCGCCACTTACCTTTGGCATGCTGGCGTTATACAGACTTGGTGCGTTGATG